TGGTCCAACACGGAAGGGCCACCATGGCCAGAGCCAGCCTTTGCTACCAGGCCACGTCCCGCCACCTCAGCAGCCCCCGCAGCAGCGCCATTGCGAGGCAGCTGCGGGGGCTGCGGCTGGAGGGAGCCCGGGCTGCTCCCTTTTGCCTGACAAGAGTCTCAAAGGGAAGGAGCCGGTGGTGTACCCCTGGATGAAGAAGATCCACGTGAGCACGGGTGAGTTGACCTTCTCAAAGGGAGAACCGCGATATCGGGGGGGTGAGGGCGCGCGTAGAAGTGGAGGAGGCTGGGCTAATCGGGAACCCCAAATGTGTTTGTGAATCTGAGGGTGTGCGATGGCCTGTTTCCTAGTTTAGAAAGAGAAAGAAAAACACGTGAGAAGCCCTTTGGATGCGGGTCCCTTTATCAAGAGATTTACGAGGCACCCAACTGTTAGGGCAGTAATTATAGCCCCCATAAATTTAATTGCCCTGGCAGTGGCTCTGGGCCATACGTCTTTGAAGCTTTTCTTGAACCCAAATGCCCATCACCATTTTTTATGACTCCCGATTGTCTGCTATTGTCAAGAGCCTGTGAAGCACCCCCCCCCGCCCCTTTTACCTCCTGTAGCTTGTTTCTCAACCCGGTAAGAATTTATTATATCATAATGATAACATTCCCTTGCCTTCTTCTTTTGTGTGCTCTGCCTATAAACCCAGTCAACCCCAATTACAATGGAGGGGAGCCCAAAAGGTCTCGGACTGCCTACACCAGACAGCAAGTCCTGGAGCTGGAGAAGGAGTTCCACTTTAACCGCTACCTGACCCGGCGGCGACGCATCGAGATCGCGCACACGCTCTGCCTCTCGGAACGCCAGGTGAAGATCTGGTTCCAGAACAGGAGGATGAAGTGGAAGAAGGACCACAAGCTGCCCAACACCAAGATGCGCTCCTCCAACCCCTCCAGTCTGAACCAGCAAGCCAAAGCACCGGCCCAGCTTCATCAACCGCCGCCGCCGCCACCACCATCAAGAGGGAGGGCGACTCCCTAACTCGCCCGGACTATGATAGCCCAGTATATGCAGAGACACCACCAATGATACGCCCATTTTTCGTTTGTCAGAGAGACAAAAAAGAAAAGCTATTAAAGGAAAGAAAAGCTGAGCAAGAATCAAAGCCCAATAGAAGGGTCAAAGCCAAAAAAAGAGAAAAAAGAGTGGAGTTTAAAAAGAAAAGAAAAACACAATGGACAAAGTGTTTCCCTTTTGTAAATATGTCTTCATCCCCACCATGTTTTTTAATTATTATTGTTATAATCATTATTTATGGAAATACCATCTAGATGCAGCATTAGAGTTGTGGACAGACCTTATACGTAAGAGGGACTCTTTGTGTATATGTTTTAAGGTGTCAGGATGTTTCTATGTGACTTTGTGAGATGTTTGTAAACCATTGATTTGTACCGTTCAGTGACCTGTTTCTGGACTCTGAACTACAGAGGGATAAAAGTAAAGCCATCTTATTCCACTGAGGTCTTTTGGGTATTAGGAGAGGAAACGCCCAGTGACCAGAGGCTCCCAGCACTGGCTGACCAAGAAAAAGCCATTTTCTATGTACAAAGGAGAATGCAACTTCTAAAAAGTGTGGTCTTTGCTCCGGTTGTGATATGTTAATCTCCCTCAAGTTCCACTTTCTCTTTGAAAAGAAATATATACCAGTATTGCTGAAAAGCCTGTCTCTGTTTCATACCATGCCACAGTCAAAACATCTGTGTACAATGTATCAATTTTGTGTATACACATTTGTGAATGTGTGATGTAAATCTAATGTCTGGTGCTGTTAAATAAAGAAGGCTGTGTACAAAAATCAAAGTAAAAGCACTAGACACACCACGAGAAGCTGGAATTTGTCTAGCGCTTGGCTTTCTTAATATCATTGTTGTTTAAATGCAGATTTAATGGAGTGTATGGTATATGCACACACACACACACACACACAGAGAGAGAGAGAGAATGTCATCCCCTTTTCAGGAAAGGCCAAGTGGCACATTTAGAGCTCAGTTAGGGTTTTCCATTAGATGGCACCCCGATCCTAGCTACATTATGATTGCAGAAGGTAGTTACACTGGTTTCAGAAGCAATGGTATTCAGCTAGGACTGTAATTGGAAAAAACCTAAAGAAGGCAGTAACTCCCTCTGAAATAAAATAATTGGGGCCCACTGGTAAGCTAAACAAACTGCCATCCAAATGGAGGTAGTATCAGGTTTCTTTGATGTGCAGAACGCCTGCAGGGCCTAGCTATGGCTTTTTTTTTACAGGGTACAGCCCACTGTGTATAAAGAAAGAATGGTATCATTTGGAGTTCTCGGTCATGAACCTTACTCTTGGTACCCTTTTGGGTATTATAGCAAATCCTAGCCCAATGTGCTGGATAAGCAGGAGAGGAGATAACTAATATTAGTATTGGTTACAGCCTATACTTTTAGTCTTATTGCCATTCCCGTGGTAGTTCTTGGTATCTTTGTTCATTTGTCACTGGTGGAAGTTTTCCAGCCAATATGGAAGAACCCACCACCTTTTGGTGTAGAATTCAAACCAGAAACTTTGAATGCAAACAAACATTATGCAAAACCCAGAAGAGGACTTTGACAAACAATTTCCTTGGTGGTCTTTCCAAATGATAACCTGTGCAACAAATGCAAGTAAATATTATGTAAATTACAATCCTGCAAGTGTTTATTCAGAAAGCAGCCCACTGAGTTTGGGACTTACTCCCGTGTACTGTATAGGGTTGCAATCTAATTGTAGCAATCTTTTGGTTGTGTCATCAGCAGTGGAATGCACTCTTCTTGGCACCATAACAATAGCCCGATGCTCACTTGTTCCGCAACTTCAATGACCTAATTAAGTTGAACAGCTTTTAGTTCAATAACTTGAAAGCAAGCCAAGTCTGAGCAGAATTATCACTGAAGCAAAGGCAAATAGATCCGGTTCCACTGGGCTACCCTGCCATTAGAATCTTGTAGGTTTCACATGAGGTCCAAAGGCCACCTGAGAATTGCTGTGAACAGCCTGGAAGAGTGTGGCAAACTGAAAGCCTAAAGAAAGGGCCTTCCTTTTTATTTATTAACTCCTCCGGACAGGAAACTGGTTTGGATTGGACTTTTGTACAAAAAAAAAAAAATTAAAAAAAATTTAAAGGATGAGAAGAGGCAGGAAAACACAGTTGCTTCACCCCCCCCTTCTAACGTAGCTTTCTTTGTCTAAAGCTTTTGTTTGGCTTGGCATGGAGGACATTTTCTGTGTTCATTTGTTGAAACTCTAAAATTAAGAGGAATGCTCAAGATGTCTAATCAACTTATTTAAGCACAAGATTACAGATCTTCGATCTTCATTGAGTTCCATAGACTCATACTTGAAACCTCCCTTCCCTCCCCCTTTCTTTTTCCCATTGTTAAAAAAAACACAAGCTGAAAATAGCAATTTTACAGGGAACCATTAATCACCTCCTACAATAAATACTTCTTTGTAATTCAACAGCAGTTCTGAAAGGCATTCTCTTGGAAATGGTCTAAGAAGACACGAAGGATTTTCCTGGGGAAAGTGTGTTCATGTATAAAGACACAGTTGCTTGGACTGTGCCGTGGTGAAAATGTATGCTTTCTGGGTGGAGAATCGTACATGGATGGAGGAAGTACACATGGCAGACTGTCACCATTCAAGGTAATGATTTTATTTGAATTTGGTTTTGCTTCAGCCTTTCACTTTCCAGTGCAGTTTGGCTTGCTGTGTTATGCTGGTATCTGAGGCATCTATGTTGGTTGGCATAACCAATGTTGCAGCGAGTTGGAAAACTACAGGATAGAGTTTAAACCCAACCATTGTCCTGCCTGTGCTGGGGCAGTGGGGAGAGTTCAAGGAAAGGACAAATTTTCTATCTCATTAATTGTTTTTTTAAGAGAAGCAGACTGACCCATCAAACCCTTGACCTTTAAAGACAGTATTCTTTCTAATCTACTTTGGACCTAAATACTGTATGCTTCTCTCTCTCTGACTTCCCTTTCCTCTTCCCTCCCCTCATCCCCCAGCTCTCTCTCTTCCACACGCACATGCACACCTTTCTTTCTTTCTTTCTTTCTTTCTTTCTTTCTTTCTTTCTTTCTTTCTTTCTTTCTTTCTTTCTTTCTTTCTCTCTTTCTTTCTTTCTTTCTTTCTTTCTTTCTTTCTTTCCCCTCTCTCGAAAACACATGCACAGATGAACACACTCACCCCTCTTTCTCTCTTCTTGCATTCTCTCTGACACACACTCATATATTCTCTTGCTCCCCACCTTCTCTATCTCACAGTTTCCTCATGCACACCTCCTCTCTAACACAACATTTTTTCGTAGACCTTTTAAGCCAAGTAAGTGAAAGTATCTTTATGTTTCAGACAGGCAAAAGGCAAACCCACATTCTTTCTACAGGGACAGGCTGGGCGGCCACTAGAGTTTTCTTCTTCTTTCTGCTTCAGTCTGTGATATGAAAGGATGTGTTTGTGTTGCTTTGTTTTATTGCTGCCTGTAGGATCCACCCATGCCTAACATATAAAAATATAATTATTGCAAAGTGGCCTGGCCTGGCCGTTTTGATCAGCAACTGTAAAAAGACAGGAGGAAAGATTGAGTCTGAATTTTGTATCTTTACTGGTTTTCCCACCATTTCAATGTGTTTATTTAGCTTAGGAGGCCTCTTATATTCAGACATGTAATCAGAAAGAAGGGATGTGGGTTGGTTTAAGTTGAGAGGACTGCACACATTTATTTCAGTCTTTTTTCTTTCTTTCTTTTTTTTGCCCTTCTCCTTTGCCAGACTTTTCACTGGTTTGGGTCCGTATTTACTAACTTACATTCTATTTCATACATAGGGGAACACCCCACACATTCACTTCTTGCCCTTGTCTTCCATTCCCAGTAGAATCTGACAAACAGGCTTCCGTCCACGCTCCTCCTTTCTTCCCCCTCCCGTTTTTCTAAAAAGCAAAGTACCCCTTCGTTTGCTTAGATTGTTCGCTGCAGAAATATACAAAAAAGATCAATATCTCGGAGACACCATTCCATGGGGTAACCTTAGCGTGAACTGACTCGAAGACCAATAAACAAGAATGGTGAGGTTTCCCTTGTGATTTATGACCTGCAGAAGAGAGCCATATATTTTTTTAGAGAAAGGATATGTTGGAATTGTCAGACGGGGGACTTAGAATAGCCCTTTCTCTATATTTCCTCCACTTGAGAGGGAGGGAGAGAGATGACACTTGATTTGCACATTCTAACTCTTCAGCCAAGAAAGTTCCTGAAGGGGAGATCTGCCCCTGACAGAGAAGGAAGGAGGAGGACCAGGTGTTAGCATGAGATTTGTTGTTCTCATCACGCTCTTGCTCTGTTTTTACACACATGGTAACTTTGAGAATATGTGGTATCTGATCAACTACAGAAGCACCCATCACAATATTAATAGTAAAAATGGCTAATTTGTAAAATAAACAGGGTTGGCTAAAGTCTTTATTGGAGCAAAGCAATATTAATCCTAGTTCTTCAGAAATCTTCATCAGTCTGGATGTTTCAAAACTTTGGATGCAATGGAGCCAGAAGTAGGTCAGGTTGATTTCTGAATTGTTCTGCTTCTCTTCCTCCCAAGTTCTGGTGTTGCCCATCCTGACAAAATGTTTTGAACAACGTGAAAGCTCAGCTTTTCAATGAGGTACAGTATGTGTGGTCTAATCAATGTATTATGCAGATATGATTTATGAGACACCCAGTTTCACTTATTCGCTCCTGCTATCTTCTGTAACCAACAAGAAGTAGGCAACTAAAGTCTTCTCAGCTTCCTACTTGGATCCCATGTAAGACCTGTTGGTATTTTTGGCAGCAGCCTTAAAAAGGTACTTCCAAGTTTCATACAGATAAGAAAAACCCAACTGAATGCAGTGATTATATTCACACTAAGTTAAGTACACCTAGGAGTTCCATTAAACTCACTCAATAAGGCCACTTCATTCTGCCTTGACAAAAATAAAGTCTCACTTATTTCCATTGGAATGAAGCACACATCCATATACATGTTTGCCTAGGATTATGACCTGTTGAACTCTGAGGGATTTACTGTTGAATAGATGGTGCCATTAAACACGTTGCCCTTGGAATCCCACTGAACTCAATAGGACCACTTAGCTCTAAATTGCCTAAGCATCATAATCTTATACACTCATATCTGGAGTAAGTTTCAATGAACTCAATGGAGTTCCTTTTGAATTCCATGTATCCATTTGGTTGCAAGCCTTAATATATGCAGGTAACTTCTGAACTGTTAAAACTCAGTTTATACTATTTTTTGGCACATCATGAGAAGGCTCGCTCTCTGGAAAAGACCATAATGCTGGGAAAGGTGGAAGGCAACAGGAAAAGAGGAAGATCAAATTTGAGATGGACTGACTCCCTAAAGGAAACCACAGGCTTGAGTTTACAGAAGCTCAGCGGGGCTGTTGAAGACAGGACATTCTGGAGATAACTCATTCATAGGGCTGCCATAAGTCAGAGGCGATCTGACCTCACTTAACAACAACAAACTTCTGAACTCAGTAGAATATTCTTCTGAGTAGCCATCCCTGGGATCGCACTGCTAGGTGTCATCTTAGGGTTTCTAGCCTCCTCGAATCCGCTTATTGGAGGAAAAGGCAGGGTATGGATGTGTAAAAAATGAAGGATCATTGCGTCACATTCAGAGGAGCCTCGCTTTCTCTCCGAGTTTGACCAGGTTGTGAAACCTATATGTCTCTGGCACGGGTGGCGACACCTCCGCTGACCACCGGAATCAGAATGTCACCGCCATCAGAACAGTTGAAAGAGATGACTGATAAAGCAGGATTGTGAAGCACTTGGTGAC